AGGGAAGCAGAGGGAGAGAAAATGGAAACATATGTTTTCTCCAAAATAACCTACCTTCGGAGAACTGTCAAAGAGAGAGTCACATCAAACTAAGAAATTCTGCCAGCAACTGGCCTCTGGATTACGTGTCTACTTATCTTCCTGTGAGCCCGTGTTTCCTTTTAAAATATATATTTTCTCACTACAGATGATTACAGCCCAATCCATTGTCTTTTACACCTTTAATTTCCTAATGCAAACTTTATTCAGAAGGACTTGTGCTTTTGCTGAACTGCATTTCCTAAAAAAAATTCCATGTTAAGTGCATTCCTTCTGCTAACCACATAACTCAGGAAGAAAACAAGTGGACAATAGCAGTAAAGCCCCACTATAAACATTAATCCAAGCAGATACAATATTCCAATAATGGACTAAAACGGCAACATTACTAAGCCCGACGGTGGGTTACAACACTCAATCATCCTTCACTGTATCTGGCTGTATTTGTCTGGATGTTTACACGATTATAATGGCATCAACTGCACTGTTAATAACCTGGGCGCTTGCTGGAATTCCAATTATCTTTTGCAATATGTTGACATAAGGAACAGACTACAGCTGGCTATTCCTGAACGTGGTAAGAAGATCCATATCCCCTTATCTGTAGACACGTCTTTGTTTACAGAACGGAGGAAGAAATATTGCATCGGGCTCATATTTTGCAATTGGTTCTGCCTCTGTGATGAAAAAAGGAAATTCTGGCTAAGTGGATTTTCTAGATGTCAGTATCTTTGATGTGACTTAGATTAAGAAATGGTATTGCTGAAATTACAGTTTTCTCTTTTTACATTGAGACCATGTTGTCACACACACAAATTCTCTTTCAACCCCTTCTCAGTGACTACCATGAGTGAGGAATCGGGGCCCGACATGTGTCAGACTGACTAGGGCACATAAATAACATTAAAAACAAATATCACTGTGGATTAGAAATATGAAGAATTTTCAGAAATTCTTTATTCTCAGTTAACTTTTATGTTTTGACTAAAGAGCCCAAATCAATTCGACTGAAAATACTTGAATTTGAATTACATAAGAAAATTATTTTATTTTTCATTGGCAAGAATATTTTTAAAGATAATTTTCTTTCTGGAATCATAGAGAAGATAACAAAAAAATATATAGTTATTTCATTATAGTAAAAGTATTTTGGAATAATTTCGAAGTCCCATGAGTAACATAAAATCTCCTTAAGAACCAATTACAGTTTTACATTTCACTGTACCATTTACACAACTCTGTAAAGTAGATTTCATTATTTTCTCCATCTCCCAGATGAGGAAACCAAAGCTTATAATATTAAAGAAACAGTCCCAATGTCACAAACTTAATTAAGGCCTAGACAATGTCAGATCTTCTGGTTTCAGATCCAGTTCACTTGGTATTAAATTAAGCTATGTCTCAAAAACTCTCAAATTCAAGGTGAATACATTGGGTAACTAGACTCAATCTACTAAACTGGGCCTCTGACAAAGTCTAGTCTCTCTACAAAAAGCGATACTGTTCAAAGCACTAACTTCTTTGTGCCAACATTAGCAACAGAAAAAGAAAGGCCTAGGACACTCACATCACATCCACTGGTAGAATAGCACAGATTAGTCAGCAGAACACTCAGAGAGGCTCCCCTGTTGATAACCACAAGATTTAAATTATGATAAACAAAATCAAACTCCCTAGAATTTTATTCCTGGGGATGAAACCCTTCTCTATATACCTCCCTCCTGTCTGCCTGCAATGTCAAGCAAATAAGGATCAAGGTAATCTTAAGTTAAAGGAAAATGAAAAGTACAAGCTCACAGACAAATCCATCTGCATTCAGCATTTTTTCTTCTCCCCAGGCACCAAATGGGGATCTATCATAATCTCAGAGTAGGATTCAACACTCGTGAGATTACAACATTTTTACAAAAACAATCGAAAAACTTGTGAATGGTTAGATCAGACTTCCTAAAAATTTAGCAGAGCTTAATTGCAATGTCATGTATTGAGTAACAAGAAATGCATAATAATCTCATCCTCCTACAATGTATCAAGGGGTGTGATATTTACTCCATCACTCAAAGAAGTCACAGGACCCGGTGAGGCGTGTGCACTAGATGGCAGCCAGAAGCCCGAGAAGTGATAACTTTCTGGCAGGATCGAGCATTTACTATAAGCCATGCACTGGTTTAGACACTTTGCTCCTTTCATGCTGGCCCGTGAAGTAGACATCACCATCATCTCCACTTTACAGGTAAGGAGACTGAGGCAGTGACGTCCGGAAGTTTGTAGGTGATGAAAGAAACCATGATTCAAAGCTGATCGTCCAGCTCCAGAGCTCACACACTTAACCCCGCACCCCCTTCTCCATCTGTACTCTAGCCAGTAACAACTGCCCAATTATTAACAGTTAGAATAGTTTTGGGTCTTTCTTAAAGATAATTTATCCAATCCTAAATCACAACCATTCAAGTACCTGAGTCAAAAATTGACATTCAAACCCTTTTAATTGCCTTAGCAGCCTTGAGATAAGGCTGTGGGGGCAGGTAGTTCATTTCAAAGGCAGCCCCAGGAAATATGGGTCCTTCCCCTCAGCTAGAGAGAAAGATGGAGAAGTTCCAGAGTCACCAAAAGGCACGCTGTCAGCAGGGTTAGCACTGGGAGCTCCAAGAAACAGCGTCCATCAGCTCAGCCAGGGTGAGGGTCCGGGGGCTTCATCCACCAATTCCTATTAGTCTTTTGCTGAGAGTCACTCCCAGAATGTCATCCCCCACACTCCTGACCTGCCCCACGCTCACACATGGCTCAAGCACAGCATCTGGGCATCGTGCTGGCCTGGCAGGTGCGGAGATGCAAGGGGACCAGGACAGGGGACCGACCCTCCATGGTGCTGGCCACAACTAGCACAGGAAGAACATTTCAGGTACTCTTGCTCCAATATGCAGAGTTTAATCTAGTAATTTAAAGACACATGGGCTTGGCAAGTGAGATAAATGTTTTAATTACCCCTCTGTCCATAACATTCACTAATTCATTTTTTTCAACCAAAACATACTACAATTGTGAATCTGTGTTAAGTACCAAGAGAAGAACTTAAAACATAAATTTAAAACAATCTCAAACAAGACCTATAAATTGCCAGCCATAAAAACCAAGACTGACATTCTGTTCATTTAAAGGTAGCATAAGGAAAGAAAGAAGCTGTGGACTAGGAAAAAAAAATTAGAAAAATATATAATTAACCAAGGATTAGTATCCAGAAGAGTAAAAGAATTTCTAAAGTAAATAAGACTAAACAAAAACTCTACTTAAAGATAGGCCATAGATAGTAACAGGATTTCACTAAGTAGGAAGCACAAAAGAAACTGAATCCCTTTAGCTATGAAGAAGACATAATTTAAATCTATACTGAGATGGCATTTTACACCTCTTACATTGCCAAATAGAATACCACCAAGCGATACAAATGCATAAAAAATGCAGACGCTGCTGCATGCTGCTGGTGCATGTGACCCGGCAGGAATTACTTGAAGACCACGTTGCTGTCCTATCTTCAGCTTTATTCACGACACAGCCGTCCCACTCCTAAGCAGACTCTTTAGAGAAACTCTTGTATGTACACGCTGGAGGACATGTTTGAGACTGTTGTCACCTACACTGCTGCTATGAAAAAAACTGCAAACCCGAAGGCCCATCCACAAGAAAATAAACAAACTGCGGTACAGTCACAGAATGAAATATTATACCACATTGAAAACAAACATGAACTAGTCTTAGAAACAAAATCCTGCATGAAAACAAGCAGGACCCGGAAGATTTTTTAAACTCAAAAAATGAGCCTCAATAATGCCTTGCTTAGTAATAGACATATAAGCAGTAAAACCTTTTTAAAGCAGAGGAATGATAAAATGAAAGTTTGAAGGAGGGTCGACCCCTGGTGAGAGGTCGGGAAACGAGATGGGCAAATGCACACGGGGAGATGGGGTGATTCAGTGGAGTCCGCTTTATAAGTTGGGGTGAGTTCCTGGGTGCGCCTCTCACTTTTATACATATCATTTGTTCACATGGACACGCACACCAGGAGATGCAATAATTCAGCGGGGTGCCCCTTCTTAGGTCGTGCGTTCACAGGTGTTCATCTTATTTTTACACTCCATTATCTGAGCATATGTTACAAATACTCTTTCTGATGTCTCAAGTATTGTGCAACACAGGGATAATAACTAAGAAAGTGGCTCTCAGCCTTATGCAGCTCACAGTCCCCCACTGCGGAGCCTCCCTGCTAAAGTGCTACCTCCTTTCATAGGCAGTGAATCACGACAGGGAGAGAGGGAGTGTGGGGCCTGCCCAGGCTGGGGACAAGGAATATCTCAGGGAGAAGTCTTGAAAGATGAGTATGCAAGTGCCCATCAACTCATGCATGGATTGACAAGCTGCAGTACATGTATACCATGGAACACTATTCAGCCATTAAAAAACACAGAGATTTGGCTCAGTGCTAACCACATACACCAAGGTTGGCAGGTTCAAACCCAGCCCAGGACGGCTAAACAACAATGACGACTGCAACAAAAAATTGGTCTGGATTTGCTCCAACGCTCCCCAGCACCTAGTCCAGCACCCCAGAACCTTGCACAGAAATTTCATCTCAAGGATTATGGCCAATGCATTCACATTTCCACGCTTAGGACAAAGAGTTTCCAACAAATGAAATTATACAACAACACTAACATCTATCACTATGTGTTTAGGGTAAATAAAATATTTTAGTTTACCCCTGTTTTTAAAAACTCTGAACCAGCACAAGCCCATTATCACATTCACTGATTCTACCAACAAGGATATTTCTATCTTACCCACCCAAGAATTCTGCCTCTGTCAAAAAATAGAAGGACCTTATATACCCTAGACAAAGCTAAGATATCTTATTATGCAGATAACACCATGGTCTTGTGTGTATTTCCATTTAAAAATACTTTTACATGTCGTATGAAAGGAGAGAAGGTGAGCACTCCCCTTGACAAGGATGGAAGAGGCCCTGGGGCCTGACAACATGCACAGGGTTAAGGCACTGGCACCTACTTGGTGGCCTCTGACCATCGTTTTTGCTGTGGTATACGTGTACCATGGAATACTATTCAGCCATTAAAAAAGATGGAGACTTTAAACCTTTTATATTAACCTGGATGGAGCTGAAACACATTCTTCTTAGTAAAGTATCACAAGACTGGAGAAACAAGAATCCAACGTGCTCAATTCTAATATGAAGCCAGCAGACTCTCTAATACCTGCCCACACAAGAGAAAAACTCAAATCAATTCAAAGTGGGAGGTGGGGGAATGAGAGAGTGGGGAGAGGGGAGGTATGGGGTGGGTGTTCACGGTGTGTGGCACACCTCTTTGGGGCAGGACACAATTGTAAGAAGGATTTTACTAACAGATGCAAACTGTGTAACCTAATTCTTTGTACCCTCAATAAACCTGAAACAATTAAAGAAAAAAATATATATATATCAATAAAAAATAAATAATACTTTTACCTAAATTGTTATAAAGAATTTGTCTGAAATTATATCAAATATAATAAGGTTTTGGCAGATGGGGACATTAGGAATAAAACATGATTTTAAGATTTTTCAGCTGTTACACCTCTCAAAAGTAACTTCCATATGTCCTTAAATTTTGAATCAGAGAACTTCTGTTTTTGTTTCGTAGTAAGTACAAAGGATAAAAAGGCAGCTGGTAACAAGATATGAAAATCCACAGTGAGTGGGCAGTGGGCACCCCAGCTGGGGGTTACTAACTGGAAGGCCTTAGCAGGAAAGGAAGCTTCAGCTGCCTCCTGCTGAGGAATCCTATCATGGAGGTCATAGCAACAGTGACCACTGACATTCAGCGAAATAAGGAAGAAATCAAAGCATTAAACAGTCAAACTACAAGAGTTTTCTAAAAGTGAGGCTATTGTAGATGCAGGTACCACACCGGTGTGGGGGGGGTCTGTCTTCCATTCACAGACTCGGGGTGCCCCACAATCTCAGAAAAGCCAAAAAACCATCATCACGAAGGTCTTCACGTTTTTCCCACTGATGCTTTTTGACCCTCCATGTGGAATTGGTGGAGTGCAGAAGTGTCCCTATGGCCCTGGGGTATGACTTGGTGTGGCAGCTACTGAGTGGAGGTCTGGACTTGCTCCAACACTCCCCAGCACCTAGTGCAGTGCCTGGCATTCAGTGGGCACTCAGCAGCCACCTGCTGAATTTAAATAAGTCCTTCCTCCTAGTGTCACAGACACTGTTCACAGTGACTGGGTGAAGCTCAGACTTTCTGTTCATAATACTTGAAAGTGAAAGCGCTATGTCAGCAGAAATGGACTTTCTCTCCTAATCTGCTCTGAGATGTCTTGATGTCTTGTGGAAAAGAACAAATTGCAAATGGAAATTCCACTAGGATCTCGTGCTGGGGAGCAGGCACCTGCGGGCCCATCCAGGATTCCCATCCAGGCCCCGCTCACTCAGCTAACCAGGACAGAGGGTGCCAAAAAAATGCAAGCCCATTTTAAGAAAGGGAAAAACTGTATTAAAATGCTAATACTCAACACTCAACATATACCAATAAGAAAAGGTGGATAGGAATAATGTCTGAGCACCTCTTGTAATTGCAGAGGTCAAACATGACCTGAGCACTGGAATTTTAATAGTTTTTCCTTTCATTTTTAGGCGCCCTCTGCATTTACTGAGTACCTGCTGTGATGTGCGAAGCCCTGCACTAGTTTCTGTGGGAGGAAAGCTCCTCCCACCAGGCAGGGGAGGGTCCTCACTTTCGAGACCACAGGACAGGGGAGGGTCCCCACTCTCAGGACCACAGGGCCGGGGAGGGTCCCCACTTTTGGGACCCAGGGGCAGGGGAGGGTCTCCACTTTCCGGACGCAGGGGTAGGGGAGGATCCCCACTCTTGGGACCACAGGGCAGGGGAGGGTCCCCACTCTCAGGACCACAGGGCAGGGGAGGGTCCCCACTTTCCGGACCCAGGGGCAGGGCCGGGGCCCCCCCGCACGCCTGCTCAGCTGCCTTCGCCTCTCTCTTGCAGTCCGTGAGCCCTTTCTGTTCGCAAATCGCACGAAATACAGAATTTTTCATCACCTCCACTTTTCAGCCCCAAACTCACGCTCCCCAGTCCTCACACTGCTCCTCGAAGTCGGCCGTCGGCTGTGACGGTGGAACGTGGTGACCTGGCTGGATCCTCGGAGCCCAGAGCTGATTTCCATCCTGTCCCCCTCACTCTGGAGCCCTACGAGGACCCGCATTGGTACCTCAGGGGAGATGCCGCAGACCCCACTCCCCGCACCCCACTCGGCTCAGGTGCGGCCACACCCCGGACCTGGTCCCGGGATGAGCCCCGCGCCCCCCAGTTCCCGCTGAGTCGCTGAGTGGGGGTGGGAGGCTGCTGTGCAGCTGTAGCCTGCGCGGGCTCTGTCAGCGGACAAGGACAGCAAGGCCAGGGGAGCTGCCCACGGTCACACACTGGCCCAGACCCAGGACCAAAGCCCACGTCCAGCTGGTGCACCATGCTGGGGGCGCTCCGGGCACACCTGCTATGCTTCACTAAGACCAGAAAGAATTAAAAGGCATTCCCGATAGAGGTTTTTCCCCCCAGTATGATTTTCTCAGTAAATACTTAACTAAGAATTTTTTAATGCTATGAAAGAAATCCTCATTTTAAAATATTGAAATCTAATTCTCTCGTTTTACTTAGAATCTAGAAGATTCTAGGTTAAAGGCATCCTCGCCCCCTGAGCCACCCTCGCAGAGGCGTCTGCCAGCCCCAGGTGGGGCATTAAGCCTTGTTGGTGCCCTCCCGGCCCAGACGCCGGAGTTTGCGTCCCCTCCACTTCTCCTGCAGTGCCCTCCTGTGAGACTCACTCTCTCATGACGTTCCCCGTCAAATCAGGGATTTCATGAATTTTACGTGACTGGAGGAGGGGCAGCTGAATAGCACGGGAGGGTACAGACTGGGGTTAAGGTCACAAGGAGTGTGTGTGTGTGCTATGCCGTCCACTGAGAACTTCTCTAACTTTGGTCGGGAGATATTTTTTTTAAAAGGGGAAAGAATAATATTTTTCTCATTAATCCCATTTTTTATAAAGCACCCTTAGAGTGCCCTGCTGTGTTCCAGGCACTATGTTAATTTCTGGAAATAAAAAAAAAAGAAAAAGAAAAAAAATTGCTGTGTCAAAGTCCTCCAGGAACTCACACTTAGAAACAGAGGACACCCAGGAGGTCACAGAACAAGGTGGTGAGTGGGCTGTCACACTGAAGTGCCCAGGGGCAGCGGGAGGAAGGCCCAGCTCAACCTGGGAAGCCCCGAGGGTACACAGCTGAGTGGAAACTTAAATGCACCTTGAATGAAGCCCTGGCCATTCCAAGACAGCTGAGTGGAAGGAAGAAAACAAAGAGAAACGTGTGTGACTCTCCCCCGGGACAGTGGTGAGGAGCTGGGTGTCGCTGGAGCACAGAGGGTTGAGATGTGAGGACGAAATGGGCTATTTGAAGTATTTATGGAAACCCTGTTTGAGATGCTAAACCAGGAGTTATGGCCTGATCAAATCTGGAGTCTGAAAAATAACGAAAAGTTTCTGTGGATGAGAACAGAAGGGAGAAACCAGAAGTTATCACAGTGTGAGGGTGGCCGGTGCCAATGGGGTCCTCAGCTCACCACGAGAACCTCCCCAACAGCAGACACTCCATGAATGTTCC